TGGCAGAGAGTGCACATGTGAAAAAGTAAAACAGTCAATTTTTAAAACAGTCAATTTTGTTTTGTGTGGCATTTCCACTGTACTAGCAAGAATAAATACACATGCATGTATGAGCTATGAGATACGAATGTTGTGATTTTTATGGTTCTACATATAAGTTAAGTCCTTCCATATGTTCATTTCAAACTGGCATCACACAGTAAAAAAGATGATTGGTAAAATTTATGCCAATAATTTAAATTTTTAATTATTTTATTTGTAAAGATATTAAATAGTAAATCAAAAATTACCATGTCCAGTCAAGAGGAAGAAAGATCATGAAAGAAAGAAAAAAGCTTTATCTTTTAGGATTTTTTTTTTTTAGTTGGAGTCTCACTCTGTCACCCTGGATGGAGGCAGTGGCACGATCACTGTTCGCTGCAGCCTCAACCTTCTGACCTCAGGCAAACCTTTTGCCTCAACTTCCCAAGTAGCTGAGACTATAGGTATGTGCCACCATGCCTGGCTAATGTTTTGATTTTTTGCAGAGACGAGGTCTTACTATGTTGCTTAGGCTGGTCTCAAACCATTCAACTGAAGCAATCCTCTGGCCTCGGCCTCCCAAAGTGCTGGGATTACAGGTATGAACGACTGTGCCAGGCCCATTTTGAAGAGACAAGACCTCGCTGGAGTACAGTGGTACAATCATAGCTCACTGCAGCCTCAAACTCCTGGGCTCAAGGGATCCTCTTGTCTCAGCCTCCTTGGTACACAGGCACATGCCACCACATTCAGCTAATTAAAAAAAATTTTTTTTTGGTAGAGATGAGGCCTCACTATGTTGCTCAGGCTAGTCTTGAACTCCTGGCTTCAAGCGATCCTCTTATTTCAGCCTTCCAAAGTGCAAGATCACCAGTGTGAGCCACCACACCTGGCCCTTCTTTTAGGATCTTTAGTGACACTTTTCCTTGCCTCTTAAACAGAGTCCCACATTTTCATCTTGTACTGGGCCCCACAAATTGTGTAGCTGGCCCTGTTCCCATGGTTTCAAGACATGTCCATAAGCACTGGCAAAGCTGGCTTCGGACCTGCACCATCCCAGGCTTCCCCAGGCTTTCCCAGTATGACTTCCTTCTAGATCTTGCCATGCCTCTGTCCTGTGGTTTCTTTTGGGATCAATGGATATATGCCATCCCTTTGGTAAAATAAACAAAAACCTTCCAAACATAGCTCTAAGTAGATTGAAAAATGGAAGTACAATGAAGTGGCAGGGGCTTATCCAAGGTCACAAGGTACGCCAGGGAAAGAAGCATAAGCTCTTAACCTTCAGGTCCAATGCCAAGGTCTGTTGTCACCCATCTCCAGTACTGGCATTTGAGCCTTGAACATCATTTGAAAATACCAATGATGTCATTGCATGTTGCATCCCTTTGGTCACACCTCAGCTGGGGCCACCAGAGCTCCACAGGAACAGATTTAGGGCAAGTCTCTGCCCTCCAGGGGATTCTGCACAGAACATTCCAAAGCCCCAGGGAAGTTTTGCATCTCATTCAAGGTTAACAAGAGTCAATCAACTGGCCAATACATGTTTCCTTTGTGGCTCTGGTAAGTGTCAGATTCCTACGTCTCCCCAGGCAGGTCAAAATATATTTTCTTAACTATTCAAAATTCTCAAGGAACAGAATGCTCCCCATCTCTTTCTTGGAAAACAAGACTCTCAAAATCACATCCAGAAACCTTGCGTGACTGACCAGATCCCTCCCAGCCAGAAGAGTCCACGCCAGAAGAGACATAACCTGGGCATGTTGCAAATGACCTGTGAACCTTGTTTGAGATCCCCTCCAGTCATCCAAATGGGTCTTTAGACCAACATGTCTCAGCACATTCTAGCTGCCCCCCCCATTCTTCTGGAGGCTTCCATGCAGAGTACAAGGGCCCACTGAGTCTGGGTTTCTTTTAGGAACCTCACAGCAGCCTCTTGTTTGGAGCAGAGATGTCCTTAGCAACACAGCCTCATTCCTCAGGTATGTCTGGGCCAGCCTGAGTTCCTTCCACACCCCAAGCCTCTCTCTATGCATAGCTCTGTGTGGAAGGACAGATCCCTGTGAAAATACCTTCGGACTGCTCCCACTCGGGGTCTGCCAGGCAGCCGGCGCTGCAGCCCCGATGACGGAGTCAGCTGTCTTTCTGCCAGAACGAGTCTGTACTTGCTGGCCTCTTCCTTTTAGTAGGGACATAGGAGAACGACATCCTGTGGGCCACTCTGCACTGTTCTGCTCTAATAACAATAACAGTGACCATCTTTCCCTCTTGTCTAACCAGGGATGACTACAAACTCATATCTAAAGTTTTTACGTTGCCAGTGAAAATAATCTTCATGAAAACAGTTTAATGAAATGTAAAAATGCATCTAACATAATGGCAAATGGAACTAGAAGCAGGATACGCGATTGTATATATGGGAGCACCTCAGTTTTCTGTTTACTTTCTTACGCAGAAAAAAAAAATACAGGAAGGAAATACACCATACTGAATTTCCCTAGGTGGTGGAATTAGAGGTAATTTCATATTTTCTTCTTTAAGCTTTTTGGTATTTTCTAAAGGAAAACACATATTTCCGGTATTGATTACTTCTGTAATGTAGCAACAACAACAACAAGATACTTTCTTATTACCTGAGACTTCTGAAACAGCGGTCACTGACTTCACACATAGCCCCAGAGAAAATTAACACCTGGCATCTACTTCTCCCTAACGTGACTTCTGTGTGGAGCCCTCCACCCTGCTGAAGTTTCTATATTCGGATTTTGGCTTTGACAAGACTGCTCAGTGTATAATCACTCTTTTCTTTCCTATGTGAAGCTTGACATTTGGAAACAGCCCTGTTAGAGCCTTGAATCAAAGCATTGTATTTCTTCCTCCTGGTTACCAGGGCTGAGTGCTCCTGGAAGAGTTCCCAAAGTGCAAGGTTTTGGAGCCCACCTGAAACTGGACTCGAGGGACACAGAGACCCAGAGGATGCTGATATGGTGCATCCAGGTCGGATGACAAGAACTTCGTGTTGGGAACAGAACAGCTCTGGAGCCTTGGACTCTTCTTCTGCAAAAATGATGATATTTCTTTTATATTGATTATGAAGATTTAAAAAGGCAGTGTATATAGAGTGCCTAACATTGCACAAAATTAATTATTAATGCTGATAAGTGGTGGGCACCAGAGAGGGCAGCCGTGGGGGAAATCTGCAGCGGCTACTTTCCATTCTCTCAACCTGAAGTTTCCAGTGTTGGGCGTTGGGGATGGAGTGGAGGAGCTGCTGACTGGTCCCACCAAGGACAGCTGTGGCTTCACTGTGGAACTGTAGCCACTTCTGGGGTGGAGGGCAGGCAGAGCCAGCCGCTGGCTGGCAGCCCAGGCATGGGACGAGGGGCGGCCCTAGAGTATCCATGGACAATACTGAATATGAGACTCCGTCATCAGCCCAGAATTAGTGGCTCAGAGTGCCTCTCCTTCCGCTCACGGATAGCCGTTCTGCCTTTTAAGCATAAGAATAGAATTTGCCGGGTGGCAGCCAGCATGCCAAGGACTTACAGGAGAAAGGGGGATCAAGCCATACCTTGCAATGGATTGATACAGTCCTACTTTGCTGAACTACGACTTCATCTGCTGCTATTACTTTCTGCCATCAGCACCCCTATTTTCACAACTGCTGCTGCTACTACTGTGACTCTTAATCCTTCAAGTTTGCACTCTGCTTTGCAATTACAAAGTGCCTCCCTGGTTGTATTCTGCCTGACTGAAGATGAGACTGGACATAGCATGATGGGAAGGCAGAGGGAGGCTGGCATAAAAATCTCCAAGGGAACAGAGCAGATGTGCACTTAGGCACGGAGCACGTGTGTCAGTATTTATTGGCACCCCTCTCCACTGCCTAGGCCCCAGACGCATCCACCATCCCCAGCCACACCCAGTCACACTTCCACCAACTCCACCTGCTCTCTCGCATGGTCCACAGCCAGTGCAGGCAACTTCAAGGGTTAGGAAATAGGAGAAATGGCCTTTTATTTGGTTGGAGAAGCCTGGCCATGCCCAAATCTCACCAAATGGGGTGAGAGAAGAAGAGAGAATGCTTTTCAAACATGATGCCAGTGCCTCTGCTAATCTCTCCCACCTTCTCACAGGAAGGCCCTGGAAAGGGCTAGACTCTTTCTTTTTTGGAGACTAAATTTTCTTGAGTCTCGGGTAAATTTTTAAAACGGGCTGACTTTGGCCCTCCTCCCTAGATGAACTCTGGACTGTGCACCTTCTTCGCTCAGAAGGGCCCCCCTTTTTCAGCTGAGTGAGAAAGGGGCAAGGAGAACAGGGAAGGTAGGGAGAGCAAGAGCGCAGGGAGCTCAAGCCCTATCGTGCCCAAGGACTCCCGGGAGATTGCTGTCTTTGCCTGGCCACCGGGAGCCCAGCAGAGTTTAGAGGGAAGAAAGTGGCATTTGGGGATCCATTTTGCCCAAGATGTGAAGGCTTGGTGGCAAACTACCCTTTGTTGCTGGGGTCGAAGAACTTGGGAAGGACCTCACCTACAGGGACGGGGTTCGTCCGGGGCGGGGGGAGACGAGGACCAATCCTGGTGCCCAGGAGAGCAGACAGGTGCACGCGCCCTGGGGACCCGCCCGCAGAAACGCGCCAGGCTTGGCGGCGGATTCGGGGCCCGCCCTGGGCGCTGCTTCCGCATTTGGACCCAGGTCCACGGTGCGCGGTGGCAGCAGCTGCCAATCGCCAGTCTAGCTGGGTCCCCTGCTGCCCGTCCAGTCATTCACAGGTGAGACTCACAGGGAAGAGAGATGACCACGGCCCTAATGGCACAACCCAAAGTCACACTTTCTCTGAGGCGCTTCCCGGGTTCTCCTCCCCGGAGCCGCACACCTTAGCAGGGGAGCCGCGCCGCCGGCGCCGCAGTGGTCCCCGGGACGCGGAGGGACCGGCGGCGGGGAAGAGGGGTGGTGGGGGTGAGGGAGGGCGCGGCTCACCTGCCAGGCTGTTGTAGCAGTCCACCTCGATGGCTTCCACCGTGCGGCTCTGCTCCTCTGAGAGGCGGCCGGGCTTGGGGGCCCCGGCAGGGGTGGCGGCGCGCGGGTCCCGCTCGCGCTCTCCGGGGGGCGGCAGCAGCCCCTTCAGCTCCAGCAGCGCCCGGTGGTACTTGCCGATGGCCTCGCGGAATTTCTTGTCCTTGTAGCACTGCGCCCCTTGGCTTTTGAA